TACATGCCTGTATTTAGACCTCTATAAATGCCCTTTGCCTCCTAGCTCTTTCCTCTATTTCCTTTTACTTTCCTCTTGTCCCACTATCATGCTTAGCCTTCATTTGGGTTTCAGTAATTTCTCTTGATTACATTGCCCTTGATCAATCCCTACCAGGCCGCTTACACCCTCCTCGCCACTGATTTTGGATCACTTGTTCCCTTGTCCCCAGGTTGGTTAATATCACTTCCTTTCCCCCACTTCCAGCTCTCCCATGTCCACCCTGAACCATCGGTCCTGTTTTTTTCTCCTCCAGATTGTTTATCCATCCTGTCTTATCTAGATAGACCGGCAGAAATAATAATGTGCACAAAAAATCTAGACTAGTATTTTGCAAAGATTAATTTTAGATAGTATTTTTGAGCATGTGCTAACATTGTGCTGGCATTTCATATCGTTAAAATTCAAAGATGTGGAAAATATCTAAATTTTTTAAGGAAGTTTAAATGTTATTGTTAGGGATAATAGAAAATATATCATATCCATAAAAGAAATAGTGTATAACCATCAAAATTTTGTTTTATGACTATTTAGTTAAATAAGAAGATACAGTATTTGGTATAATGATTGCTTTTAAGAATTTTTTAAAAACTACTTGTTAAAAAGAAGGCTACATATAGAAAAGCTTTTCAGAGAAAATATAGAAAAATATAGATAGAAATATTCTAAAGTCTTAGAAGTGGCTATCTTAAAAAAAAAAGAGTGGCTATCTTCAGTTGTTAAATTACTTTTGATTTTTATTTACTTACTACTGGGTATACTTTTGAGTAGTTTCCCTAACCTCTCTCGGCCTGTATTTCCCTATCTGTTAAATGAGGATAATATAGAATATAGATTCCCAAACCTATTTGGCCCACTGCCTCCTTTTCAGAAAAGAATCACTTAGCGCTCCCCTGGCAGTTAAAAGCATTTGTTCTATAGCCCATCCAGAATAAAGTATAAACATCTACTTTTGTATTGTAACCATCATCCAGAATAAAGTAGAGGCACCTACTTGTGCAGCCGCCTCCCGTCATTCGCAAGGCCCCTCAGGGGGTGGTTTCATCCACTTTAAGAAGCACTAATATATTGTCTCTTCTGGGTTTTGTGCGTATTTTTTAATGATTATATGATGAGATGCACTTCACAACAGTGTCTAGCCTATAATAAATATTTCACTAGCTAATATTATTTATTTTTCTATTTTCTACAAGAGCTATAGATTACTATTCTTGTTTTCTAGTTATTTTTAAGATACGTGTTTAATTTTACAAGTGTAGGAAGCCTGGTGGCGCAGAGCGTTGTGGTTGTAACAGCACATGCGCTGCAGAGGACCTAGCCTGGTCTTTCTGCTCCCGTCACTAGTTTGTCTCGGAACCTCGCTCGCAGCTCTTCCTTGTCCTGTAGGCTTGATGTAAGTTGGCATTGACTTGATGGCAGTGCGTGAGTGACCTCTTTATCATATAAGAAATTAAAGTACTTCAAGCCATATGAAAGGAAATCAGGACGGCCCAAGAATATGTAATTACAAATGGCATTTCATGAACTTTGAGTTGATTATTTTTAACTGTATCTTAAAGCTTTATGTGAACAAATGATGCTTAAATTTTGGGATTCTCCAAAAATACTTATTGTGCCAAGTTTAGGTGAAATCAGTAGATTGGAATAGGAGGTATATTTTCCAGCCTTTACATGAAGCTGCTTAGATACATTATAGATAATGTAGCTTAAAACAGTACCAGGATCTGGTTTGTATGCAGCTTCCCAAGAGCAGGTGTTTATGTAGTGTCCCAAAGAGCTGGAAGGAAGAACCAGACCGCTGCCTGAGTCTCCTCCCACTCTAGTTCCTGCACCCCGCCTGCATTAGTGGTATTAGTGGTAACTAATACTTGCCTCATGTCTTTTCAAACAGCTCTTCCCCGCAGAGAAAAGAAGCCGATGCGCCGGTGTTTTTTCCCAATTCCCTGTTGGCGGAAAGGGCAAACATGCGCTTACAGACTGGGCCAACAGAGGGTGCTAGTGACAACGCGGTCACATTAGAAGACCCCAAAACAGAGCAAGTAATGCAGCCCTTACCTCATCAACCAGCGGACAGCCAGCAAATTTACCAGGATTTGTTGGTAAAAAACTATATAGAGAGCCTTTCATCTTCTTGAGAGCTTTGTTAAGTACAGGGTCCTTTCCTGGAAACCAGTTGAGACTTAAAGGCATAAGACACAATCCATGCCTATGAAGTGATCGTTATCAGTAGTGCTCAGGGAGGAAATATGCTGTACTGTCAGGAGGGCAGAGATAATATCACAGGTCACTCTTGGCTGTAGAAAGGAGCCAGATTCTGAAAGTAACATGAATGTCTTGTGTATAACCCTGAAACACATTATCAATATTTCAAATGATAGCAGGCTTTTTAAATTATTGTTTATAAAGATTTTAACATAAATAATTGAAAAGACAATATTACGTAGCTGCTTTTAAATCTATTGACGTTTTAAAAATGAATATGTCTGAACACAGTTCTAAGTTCTGATAAAAACTCATTAGAGTGCACTTTTACTCTTTTTTTATTTACTAAAAGATCATTTTATTGGGGCCTCTTACAGCTCTTATAACAATCCATACATCAATTGTATCAAACATATTTGCACATATGCTGCCATCATTATTTTCTAAACATTTACTTTCTATTGAGCCCTTAGTATCAGCTCCTCTCTTTTCCTTCTGTTACTCTTAATACTTGCAAATGCACTTAGTACTTCCTGCAGTGTGGCCTGTTACTCTTACTATTTTCATTTCTAAGATGAGTAATGATGTTTAAGTGCATCCTTTTTATTTTCATTAGGGTCAAGTGAACCACCTTTTAAATAAGTCTTGCAAAGAAACAGAACAGCCATCTACAAAAGCAGTAATTATCAGCCATGAATGTACCCGGACTCAAAATGTTTACCATGCAAAGAAGAAAAAACATGATGCCGCCTCAGTGGACAAAGATTGTGTTCTTAATGCCACCCTTAAGCAACTAAGGAGCCTTGGAGTAAAAATTGATTCTCCCACTAAAGTGAAGAAAAATGCACATAAAGTGGATCATGCCAGGTAACTTCTTAAGACCTATTTTAAATTCTGAATGCATTTTAGATGTGTTGTAGCAGTCCTGATGAGAAAAGATAGGTTCACCTTCAAATCAGCGAATTCATTTATTTATCCAGTGCTTGCTACATGCTTGTTGAATGAGAAATCATCTTCACATGTTAGATGCTTCATTTTAGAAGGAGAGAGAAATGCATTCAAACATATCTTGAGAGAGATTGTGGAATGTCTCCTGAGAAGAGATGCCAACGAAGTGTGCTGAGAGTGTGGCAGGTCTCAGAAGTGAGTTCTCTTAGTGGGGAAAGGGCTGATTCCAACTGCTGGACCTACACTTACACAGCTGGCCACCCAAAAAGCAAAGCACCCCTTGCGTAGGGATTACTTTGAAAAGTGTAGTTCAGTGAACTTCAGCTGGGCTTCTTTTTTAAATTGACTTCAGGGTTCTCTTCATCAAAGATGATTGCAGCACATACTTATTAATAAAAGCGATAAAAGCTGGGGGTTATAAAAAGCTGGCATGCTTTCTCTTAATTAATAGTTGTTGTTTTCTAATTACAACAACAATACAGTCATCTCACCAGAGGAATGTTTGAAACAAAGGAGAGATGACTTACTTCCCTTCTGCTTTCCTGTTTCAGACACTACAGAAAGTAAGACAATGTGGGACAGGAGAGCAGAGAAAGAGGGCCCCAGACCTACCCAGACATAGGTACCAACCAAATGTGTGGCCATCCGGGGCCCGGAGAGGACAGGTTAGAAGTGCCCCTGTGGGTTTGTGAGGCTACAACTCTTTACAGGAGTAGAAAGGCCCATCTGAGAGCAGCTGGGGGCTTTGAACTCCTTGGGGTTAGGCAGCCACTTAAGCAGCCAGTGCTCCATGCAGAAATGGTGGAGGACAGGAACTTGTGGGTTTGAGGTGTGCAGAGCCTCTGCAGGCAGGCAGATTCCCAGGGAAGTGACCTTTTGAATTCAAAGCATGTCTTCCGAGTCTCTAGTTGCTTTGTTGCCTTGCTTCTCGGCTCTCTGCTTGTTGAAAAGCTCTAAATCTGAGTTCAGTGGGGACAGTGAGGCAAGGTTAGTCTTCATCTTTAAGTAAATTAGAATCATCTTTTATTTGTTGGCATATGACCCTCTTATGCCTCTTGCTTCATCAGATTGTGACTGCGCACTAAGGAGGTGCTAACACGGTATATTTGTGCACAAGGGTTTTAAGATGTAACCTCTGATTTTCATCTTAATTGGCCTGGTGGTGATATGCTGTGGTTCTGAGTATTATTTGATTTGTTTTCTTCAAAATAATGGTTACACCTTCTCTCCCAAAATAAAAATAGTTGTGTTGAGGAGCCTTCAGGGCACAGTGGATTAGGGTAGGGCTGCTAACCTCGAGGATACGTTCTAAAGCACCAGCCACTCTTCAGGAGAAAGATGAGGATTTCTGCTCCCATAAAAAGGTACAGGCTCGGAAACCCACAGGGGCGTTCTCTCCTGCCCTATAGCGACACTGAGTCAACTGACTCGGTGGCAGTGTGTTTGTTTGAGTGTTCATGAAACTTGAAGAGTCTTCTAAACTAATATTGACTGCTTAGAGATTCTTTACCTATTCCTTAGCAGAAGAAACCAAATCAAACTCACTTCCATCGAGAAAATGCCAACTCATAGTGACCCTACAGGACAGGGTAGAACTGCCCCGTGGATTTCTGAGACTGGAACTCTTTCCGGGAGTAGAAAGTCTCGTCTTTCTCCCATGGAGACGCTGGCGGTTTCTAACTGGGTACAAGTAACCACTATGCCACTGTAACAGAAGATAAAGTTAAAGTTAAATCTGCCTTTTAAATACACTTGTGAAATTTTTATTTGCTTTACCATTTTTACTTTAATATTATTTATAATTATTATACTAGTAATTATTTTAATATGTACACATTTCCTGATATGCTATGCATATGATTTATGAGGAAATTACCAAACAGTAAAAAGTAGAGAGAAACTTTATTTAGAAGTTATCTTTGCTAGGGACATAACATAAAAGCAGAATGTCTAGGTAAAATAGTAGAATCTCTTCCATTTTTTAAGTTGTCTCCCAAGCATTAAACTTACAGAAGGTTAGGGAGAATTCCATAGTTATCAAGCTCAGCATTATTAAGCACACTATTCATTGTTTAATAATATCACTGGTGTCAGGGATAGTAGTGACTGGGAATTGCTTCTTTAAAGTTTCTTACAAGAATGAAAATACCTGATAGTTGTCTGGGCTTTGTGGAGTAGGGGTGCAGGCAGCAGCAGGCATATGTATAAAACAGGCGACTGTTTCCAAGGAAGGATATAGAAAGGTATGGCATATTCTTTTTGGATCAGAATATAATGTTTACCACAACAAGCAGTGCACAAAGGACTTTTAATGTCTTAGGAAACAGGAAAACTGAGAGCAGAATATAAGTTGTTGAATACAATACAGTGAAACAATGATTTCTAGAGCTTTAGAATAAGGCAGCCAGGGGTAAAGTCTCAGTTTGCCACCTGCTAGCTGTTCAACTTTAGAGAAGTTAGTTAAACTCTCTATGCCTCAATTTTCTTAAAAATTACCTGTACATGTCGAAGGGATCAGGTGTAAGGCATCATCAGAACAAAAAATCTTACCATGGTGAATGATGGAAGTGCGGAGTGGAGATCCAAAGCCCATTAGTAGGCCACTGGAGATCCCCTTGCAGAGGGCTCTCAGGGAGGAGATGAGCCAGTCAGGGTGCGATGTAACAATGATGAGAAATATAATCTTCCTCTAGTTCCTAAAGGTTTCCTCCCCGCTCCCACTACCATGACTCAAATTCTATCTTGCAAGACTGGCTAGACCAGAGGAGGTACACTGGTACAGATAGGAACTGAAAATACAGGGAATCCAGGACGGATGAGCCCTATAGGACCAGTGGTGTGAGTGGCAAAACAGGGAGGGTAAAGGGAGAATGGGTAGGAAAGAGGGCACCGATTACATGGAACTGTGTGTGGCCTCCTCCCTGGGGGACAGACAACCGAAAAGTGGATGAAGGGAGACGTCGGACAGGGCAAGATATGACAAAATACCCATTTATAAATTATCAAGGGCTCATGCGGGAGGGGGGAGCGGGGAGGGAGGGAAAAATGAGGACCTGATGTCGGGGGTTTAAATGGAGAGAAAATGTTTTGAGAAACGATGTACAAATGCGCTTTACACAATTGATGTGTGTATGGATTGGGATAACAGTTGTATGAGCCCCTAATAAAATGTTAAAAAAGAAAAAAAAAAAAAGCCAGACCTTATAGATGGGCTCTAAAACCAAAAAAAAAAAAGAAAAATTACCTGTACAATAAAGATTATAAAAGTACCTTTGCTTCTTTTATTAATTCAGTATCTATTGAGTGTCTGCTATGGGTCAAACACTGTTCTGGGCACAGAGAGAGAGAGAGAGATTAAAAATCTCTGCCCTTGGGAGGTAAGAAAAGTAGAGGAAGGGCAATATACAATGCTAGAGTAGAGAATAAGGTTGGAATTAGATAGGGAAGGCCTACTACTAATGAAGATTTAGGGACAGAATTAAATAAGATAATGTATGTCTAATGCTTAGCACAATGGCTGGCACGTAATTAGGCCTCAACAAGAGGTAAACAGCTAGTATTGTACATGAGTCCCAGGGTGGTGCAAACAGTTAAGCGCTCAGATACTAACCAAAAGGCTGGCCATTCAAATCCATGTAGAGGCATCTTGGAAGTAAGGTCATATATCCATTGGAAACCCTGTGGCACGCACTGCTGCTCTGAAACCCATGGGGTGGCCATGCATTGGCGTCAACCAATTTAGATGTCTGTGTGTTTTATATACATAGATGGAAAAGCCAAGCCATTTGCATTGACACCACCCAAAGTGAGTTGAGGACTAACTACATCGAATGCTGGCAAAGTTAGTCTACAAGGGGCAACCCTAATCTCGAGACTGGTTTGTGGTTTTAATTGACAGAAATCCAAAACATGGACTCTCGTCAACAATTTTACTTTCTGAGCTGTTCATCAAAGCTTGTGCTATCCAGATCAAAGATGGGCTTTTTGTTGTTGTTTATGTTTTGATTTACATTGAACATTAGCTGTTCTCTCCTATCTTGGACTAGTCGTAAATTAAATGACTCACAACAGTTTGCCTCTCACATTTGGGGCTTTATGTTTGGTCTTCACACTTTGACTAATGTCTAAACTTTGGAAACATAACGTGTTGCGCTTTCAGCGTGCGGATCAACAGTTACCTTCTAGATCCTCACGCTCAGCCAATGGCGGTGTATGTACACCGTCAAGGTTTACATGCTTGAACACCCAGATCAGAAGTACCGGGAAGCTCCACACAGATAACCTTTCCTTCCTTCCATAGAGGGCCGCATTTCGATGAGTCCCGTCTAGTACGCAAAATGACGATGGCTTCCTGCTTTGTCTTTTTCAGTGTGCTGGCATGCATCAGTCCTGAAGCGGTCATCTCCGGACTAAACTACATGTCATTTGCTAATGTTGGCGTGAGTGGATTAAGCCCCACCGGTGTGGATCTGAGCATGGAGGCAAATGCTATCGCCCTGAAGTATCTAAATGAAAATCAGTTGTCACAACTCTCTCTCACTCGATCAAACCCAAATAGTGGTGACTCATCATTTAGCCTTTTACAGATCAACACAGACAAAAGCACTCTGGGGCTTAGTTTAATCTCACCAAGCAACATGTCGTTTGCAACCAAAAAATACATGAAGAGATACGGACTCATCCAAAGCAGTGACAACAGTGAAGATGAAGAGGAGTCTCCAAAGACCACAGATGGCAAGGGTGAACAGGTGTTGAATCACAGCCGCTCATCCGGGCCACAACAATGTGTGTGTCAGAAAGAGCCTTCTAAGAATGCCTGTGAAATCAGTTGTAAGGCGTCTGTGGGCATTCACCCAGATGTGCCAGTACTGAGAAACATTACAAATGAAGTTGGCCAACCAAAGGCAGCACAGCAGGTACCGAAAAACCCAGCTTTCTTATCAAAGAACCTTAAGCCAAGTCCTGCAGCAAACCTCCGAACTGGTAAAGCAGAGTTTACCCAACATCCCGAGAAAGAAAATACTAAGGATGGTCCGGTTTTTCCAGAAAGTGTGCAGCCCTCTGAAACTTTAAGGCAGATGAACAGCATGAATTCAGTAGGCACATTCTTAGATGTAAAACGTCTTAGGCAGTTGCCCAAATTATTTTAAGCCTTTAATGACACCTTTCCTGAAGATACTTAGGAAGCCAGCGCCTTTCGGAGTTCTTAATCCTTCTCGAAGTCGTGTCTGTTTCATGGTAGCTGCTCACTGCACTGAGCTGATTCAGTGAGATGCCTGGCAAGGCTGAGTTCTCTTTGTTCAAGCAGAGCTGTTCCAGTCGCTAAAACCGTAAAAAAGAAAGAAACCTGGAGATAAGTTATTAAAACAAAATTGGGCACACAGACATTGTCCCACTAAGAATCTAAATCGCCATTTTATACTGTACATTTTAAATAGTACACTTGTTTCCCAGCGTGTTCACCTCGGCATAAATCCAGTATCACCTAAAAGAATATAAAGTTATCATGACTGACTAATTAGCACAATCAACCTTTACTGAGTTTCAGTGGAAAGTCTTTGTTCGTTCGTTTATAAATATCTTTTGTACAAGGAGTGTATTTCCTCATAGTTAAGGTGTATGTTAAACTCTCTGGAAGTAAAACTTTTGCAATCTAGTGGGTTAATGGTCATGTGACACCTCCATGTCTGTAGCACTAGTTATCACAGAATAAAGTCCTGGGTATGAGTGTGTTTTATAAACTCAGTGAGTTTTTTTCAAGTGCTTTGCTATTTTTTAATGGAACTTAGTAAAAATGTCTAGATTGTTTTCCCCAGTCCTCTGCCATAACATATCCCTTCCTCACTTGTTTTAAACTTTGTAGACGCACAAGGTACGAGCAGTACAGAGAGCCCAGGTGTACACTTACCCAGCACACGGACAGCACATAACCAGAGTCACCTCTCGAGACTGACATTGGGCCAACACTAGTAACGAAACTACACATCTTTGGGATTCGACCAGTTTTTATGTGGACTCGTTTGGTACACAGTTGTAGCCACCAACACAGTCTCAGAATACAGAACTGTGCTCAAGAGAAGCGAGTGCTGCCCCTTACCCCTGACAGCCCCTGAGCTGTTCGTGGTGGCTTTGAGACTACCCACTGAACGGAATCACATACTATGTCACTTGAGAAAAATTCTCCCCGTCCTCAGCATAATGCCCTCTCGAAACCAAGTTTCTACATAATCCGTAGCTTATTCCTTTTATCTTCACCTTAAAAAAATTGTTTTAAATTATTTCTGAATGTAAGTGAAAATGTCCCCTATTCACTTGAGAGAGCTTTGCTACTGAAATTAAGATGGCCTACTTTATACACACTTCCACCGAAATTGGCTTTCTGAGGCAGTAACCTAGATGCCAGACTTACAGGGAGCAGGCTGAAGTGGTTTTCTCCTGTTCCACTGTGTGTGTGTGTGTGTGTGTGTGTGTGTGTGTGTGTGCATATTTTGCCACGTGTTTTTTTCTGCCCTTATTTTTCTTCCAAAGCCATTTTATTGGTAGTTAATACAGATGCCCTATCATTTTATAGTTCACGCACATCAAGAAGTTGTGTATAATTGCTCTTACAATTCGTTTCAAAATGTTCTTTTCTGAACTTTTCACACACACCCCACCACTGTGCCCCCCAGAAACCCGTATTCTACTTGCTGTCCCTGTAGGTTCATCAATCCTGGGTTTCATAAACTGGAAAACAGAAATAGCCACACAAATTCAAGAGGATCATAATTATTTCCATCATTTTATGTAACCATTTGAATGCATGTTTTTATGCAACCAGGTATTTACCGTGGCAGAAAGCACTGTAATAAACTGCATGCTAATCTGCCCTTATGTTTTTATGGTCATTGTGGCGTTATTTTAGTAACTTAGCTTTAAAAAAAATCTACAAGCCTTGAGATTTTCTTTTCTAAAAAAGACTGCTTAAAGTAGTTTTAGATTTATAGGAAAATTGCAGAAAGAGTTCCCATTTCAAGGACGTAAATATTAAGGAACAGAATTGTCAGTACCACTTCAAGTAGGCTGTTTGACCCTCATTAACCAAGAAGTAAGTGTAGGGATCATTTATATTGTACATGATTAGAAAAAAAAAAGAAAGAACTGACTACAAACATCCTAGCTAGGCCCGGAAACAGTCATACAGCACAGAAGGCATTTTGTGCACAAGAGCCAAAAGGGGTGATCCGGAAGGGAGAGGGTCCAGCAGTGCCTAGTGAGAACGTCCGTCTCTTCTTGGACTTCCTATGTGCTCTTTGCTCTTTTCAGGAAAATAATTGCTCAGCACCCTGCCCCGTGTCAATGGAAACTTGTACTGTAGCCACTAATCCTGGATAAAGTATAGATTTCTGCTATTGCAGCCCACCCCTCACCCCAGATCATTGCAGCACATCCCTCGGATGTGGTATCACCCACTTTGGTCAATATTATACAGTACAGTTGATGACTGGGATACCAGCCCAGTGTCCTTCCATAGCTTAACTAGGGGCAGCTACTTCCGCCACCCTTCCCTCACCATGACATTCACTCCCAGCCATGCCACAGGCGCACACTCTTACTTCGGCTTGGAATTGAGAGGTGCTGAGCAAGCAGTGATGTACAATAGAGATTCACCCTGGAGACTCATGTGAACAAGAGAAATACAAACATTAGCAATATCTGTACACTCGGGTCAGTGTTTATAACAACACTATAGCCTATGCCATGAGACTGCGAAACTGGCAGGAGGGTTATTCTAAGGCCATTCCGGAGGGGTAGTGACATTTTCCTAGAATCTTGCAGAAGGAATAGGGGAGAAGAGCCATTCCTGTTCGAGGAAACCGCTCTGAAAGCATGGAGCTAGATCGGTCTGCACAGTATGGGTTTGGAGAGAACCAAAGATAGCAAAGAGTAGAAAGTACTGGATTAAGAGCAAGAACCGAGTTTTTGCTGCTATGTCCTTGGACAAGTCATTTCCCATTTAGGCTGGCCCATTTTTGAAGTGAGGGTTAGCCCCTGCAGCTCTGACAGCATGATTATATGAGTTGATGCAAGAAAAGACAGGCAGTAGTTTGACAGGAGAGGCTTGCTGGCGAAGGTAGTGCTGGATGTTGGACCTTGAAGGTTTTAAGAACGTCCACTAGTATAGTTGGAGAAAAGATGTGTCCTAATTAACACTTTAACTATTTCATAGTTTAAAATGGGAACTTGTAGTACAATGGCCTAATGGACCACATAACCATCCACCTCTATGACCCGTAGACCATGGACCACATAACCATCCACCTCTGACCCGCAGACCACAAGAACTGGGTGGTGATTAGCTTCCACTACCAACTGCTTTGACAAGGATCGTATTAGACGGTCTTGGAAAGAGTGGGAGAAAAATGTGGCACAAAGCCCCAAGTCATAAAAAAGGCCAGGCTTTCTGGTTGGGTAAGGATTGGTGGAGCCTCTAACACTAAGGGCCTCGATTCACCCTGGAGGTCTGGAACGGAACTCATCTTGTGAGAATAACCCATCATTTAAGATCAAAAGGGTAGCATTTACCCAAGGACAAAGTGCAGAGGGTTCCGGAAGAAGGAGGCATGGAAACAGGAAACCCAGGGAGGCAGTGGGATATAGGACGGTATTTTGAGGGGATTACAGGGAATGACTTGAAACCATTGTCAAGTGTAAACTGATGACCTGCTCAGCAAACCTTTGCAGTTCACGTTTAAAGGGGCCGGAAGTCCACTTTCCCCACTGAAATGCTAACATTTTCCAAGAATGGGTACCGCTCCAGCTCTACATTCTACCTTCCCTCGTTCTAAGGAGCTCAAAGTCTAGTGGGGGTGGAAAACAAACCTCCCCCAAAATGCTTTAGGATTGGAAGCCTGCGCGATCCTCCCTATCTCTTCCTCTCTCCTCCCCAAACCGGGACTGCCTGGGTCACAGAGAACATCCTTAGAGGAAATCCTGTTTTCCCACTTCCTGGATGGAGACCTACCGGAAAAGGATGGATTTGAGGAAAGTCCTGTGTCCTGCCTCTTCTAGGGAGGTCTGGGGCCTAGAGGGCTGTTGAGGCTAATTAAAAACACAATGGAAAACATGACGTCAGGATGCAAGGGGGGCAGAGCAGCAGGCCCTCAGAAGTCACTCCGTTCTCATGTTACTAGAGGACCCTGGAGGACAAACCAGGAACGCGACTTTCCAAGCTGACCCAGCTTAACACACACACACCTCAGGACTCCGAGCTGCCAGTAAATCAGGGATCAAGCAAACCCAGGCCCTCTCTACTACCCTGGGCTTACTAGCACAAAGAAAGGGCGAGACAATCCTAGCCTTCTTTCTTGCCTTTGCTCACATTATTCCCTTTGCATCCCAGCCCTCCTTGGCCTTCAAAGCCCTGTGGGCTCTCCCAAGCCCAGCTTGAAAATTAATTCTCTATATCCCTTTTCTATCCCACAGTTGTACAGGAACTCTTCCCAGAATCCTCACCTGGAAATGAAGTCACCCCCTTGGAGCTTCCATCGAGTCCTTTGCTCCTCTTCGCACCCTCTGTTACAGCGTTGAGTGCAGCCAGCGTGTGTGGCCGTCATATGCCCCATAGTCCTATGTCCCACGGCTGGGAGCTCTGATCCCTTGCCCAGAGAAGAATGACATGGCAAAGCTCTGCTGGATGGGTGATGCGCCCGCTTTGTCTCGGGCCTTAGCCTGCACTCGGGGGGGCATAACGGAGAAGGCGAAGGTATTTATGTCCACACTGGCACGTAGGCACAGCACCGCATTCACTTATCAGAACCCCACTCAGATTTCCCACTTAGTCCTCATGGTAACCCTGTGAAGTAAAGAGAAGCAAGAAAGTGCACACCGGCACACAGAACAGGGACCAAAGTCGATGAAAAGACTCAAGGAATGGCGAAGTCCTGGCTCGGGACAGTGGAATGAGGAGGAAGACTCGAAGGATGGGATTATTCCTGGAGATCTTTTTCAAAGACAAAACTGCCTAGCAAGCCAGCACTGTTGGCCTGTGCATCCGGGAACACGGCTCACAGGCTGGCCAACCAACCCCTGCCATGAAGCCCATTCCCACGCATGGTGACTACAGGACAGAGCAGATTGCCCCTTTGACTTTCTAAGACTTTTCATCTTTCTGAGACCAGACAGCCTCATCCTTCTCCCTTAGAGTGATTGGTGGGTTGGAACTGCTGACCTTGTGATTAGCAAGCTCACTGGGAAACCCATTCTGCCACCAGTACTATGTATTACATGTATTGTCTCATCTAATCATCGTAACAGTTTGGTAGCTAACATTTACTGAGCACATCTCCTATACGCTGCACTTTGCTCTAAGCCCTTTTACATCTGTTAACTCGCCTCTTCCTTAAGTAACTACAAGGTAGATACTATTATTATCTCCCATTTTATAGGAACAGAGATTTGAAGTAACTTGTCCAAAGCCACGAAGCCAATACTAGGAGCCAGGATTCAATCCCTGGCAAGATGGTTGCAGACTCCATGCCCTCAACCTGTACATTATGTTGGGATTATTGCCGTGAGAAAGTAGACTCGGGGAGAAGCGTTGTGCTGAAGTCACAATGAAGTAAATGATTCAGTCAGGATTTGAACTCCGGCCTGGATAAGTTAGGAGGCCGAGCTCTCTTCTCCACAAGAGCAGAGGGCTAAGGTAAGCATGAGTGTCAGTTGACTTAAAGTT